CCTCGTCCCTTGGAGATGCTCTAAAAACACTCAAAAAAAAAAAAAAAAATCAACCAATTCCAAATGCAGTTCTCAAAGAACATTGTGATCTTTCACCAACTAGAAATATTGGAAGGTCAGGATGTCAGTCGATCCTCCTAAACTGGTAGGTTTACTTACTCTTGCAGTTATAAATAGAAAGCAATGACTCGTACATGCTTTCTAGACAATATCTTTCTTAATGGATTTCATTACTCAAAACAACTCAAAGTACACATCAATGAGACTTTTGGAAAAGAATGTGTATACAGTGAGTAATACAGTACTCTATTTTTACAAACAAAAATCTTTTACATCGAATAACTGACACCAAAAGGCGACTGAGAGATATAATATATTGCAGATGGATCATTTACAAAACAAAAGGAAGAGATATGCAAACCCAAATATATATATATATATTATATGCATATCAAGTTACCTAACACCATCTCTCATGCGTAGTAGTCCCCGTGTGTGGACAGATCTGGACTGTATAAGTGAATAGCCCTGTTCGCTAACTTGATTAAATTGTAAGTGAAGGAAGGTGTTTGAAGTCTTCGGACCACAACCTTCTGGACCAAAGCTCCTAGATGTCCGAGGACAGTTCAAGATGTCAGAGCTCTCATCAGCAGTTGTTTATGAGATTGCCTACATAGTTAAATTAACAAATGGAGCATCTGGATGGGAACTCCCTGTTACACTCAAAATCAAACTCCCAGGGCATGGCGGAACAGAAAAGAGGCGCCAATAAAGTCTACTCGAGAAGCCGAGAGGAGTGTGGATAAAGCTTATTGGTGGCAGTTTTCAGTCCATGGCAGGAGAAACTGGAGAAGTGATCTTTGATCTTTATAATCGTGACACGCCCTAGAAATGACCTACTGTTTAATCACAAATGAAAGCTTTAGCTAAAATTTCTAAATCCTAAGCATTATAATAATTTACATGTTGCAATTTGTTTGAGTGCATTTTGCTTATCTGGAAAAGGATGCAGTAAACATACCCACAACAGGTCAGAATTATTCTGGTCATGCTACGTGAAGCTGATGAAGATCTTAACCAATGTAACCACTGCCTTCACGGGTTCACCACCCTGCAGTATAATTGACAATAACTCTTCCTTGGCTGCCAACTGACAAAGAGGAGCATACTACTGTTAACACTATAACACTACGATACATTACTTTTCTAAAATAAGATAGAAAAGAAAGAATTTCCTTGAATACCTCCGACTCAAAATTCACATTTGCTCCAGTATCCTGCTAACATGTATGATGGATGTCGTTCAACTTAATTACATCTGATCTGCAGGTATATGAGTATTTACTAGAGAGGAACCAAACTGCATAAACAAACACCTTAAGGTGAGATTAATCTATGATAAGAAAACAAAACAAAAAAGCAACCTACAGATTAAATCCTGCATGTTCGATCTGTTAAGAGCACCTACCAAAAGATTTGTACATGGACGCACAGAAACTCATTTAGATCCCCGAGAACCAATTTCTAATGAAGTTATGATTGACTTATCAAGTCACCGGATGGAAAATTGACTTCACAGTTGTAGTGCAAGCCTACGTCTACTAACTGACAACTCACTTGCGAAGAAAACAAAGATGATGTCCTTCCCTATCTTTTTACGTCATTAAAGATCCACTTGTTGGTCTCGAGACATAAGGTCATTGACCAATGACTGCAAAATATGTGTAGCTTCAGATGCTCTCCCTTGATGTAAGTAATCATCTATTATACGTGAGAATTTGACAGCAGTTTGGAATTCCTGATCCTTCAAGTTAAAAGGGATGATACTCTTCCATTCCTTGGATCTTCCTTCCAAGCAAATACCATGCAGCAGACCAGCAAAGGAAAAAGAATCTAGAAGGATGTCATTATTAACATACTTTTCACACAGCTGTAATGCAGTTTTAACCATCCCATGATGGCAAAGGCAAATGATAATGGAATTATAAACAGCAGCCTTTTGAAACCATCCATCTGATATCATCCTTCTGAAAACCCCCAGAAAAATAGATTTTTCATTTTGTTGGGACTCGTTAACTTCCTTTGGAATCGCACCAGGTTCATTGTTTGTGAACCCATTTACCAGATAATGGAAGGTGACGTCATTAGGAATGCACTTGTTCTTCAGCATTAGTTCAAAAAAGGATGGCGGCATTTGCAAGGTTACCTTCCTTGCAAAATGTTCCAATAAGTATGCTATATGTGACTACATTTGGCTCCAAGCCAATGGATTTCATCTCTTTGAAAGTTTTTACAGCTCTGCAAGAATCTCCCTTGTGGCAAAACCCATAGATCAAGGAGGTGTATGTGACCACATTTGGCTTGCATCCCTGTTTGACCATCAGTTCAAAGAAACTTAGAGCAGCATCCAAGTTATGCTGCTTGACATACCCATCAATAATTGTAGAATACGTGAATCCATCAGGACGATGATGCACTTTCCGCATTTTCTCAAAGCAAGAAAGTGCATCCGTCATCATTCCAAATTTGCAGAAACCCTTAATCATAGCATTGTACCCCACAACACCGGGGTTTAGACCCTTTTCAATAGTTAACCCAAATATTTTTTTTGCTTCCTCAAGGTCACCACTTCTGATTAGCCCGTCCACCAGAGTGGCATAAACATATGCATCTGGTGGTACATTTTGGTCAAGCATCTGACCAAGCAGCAACTTGGCAGTAGGAAGCCTCCCCTTCTTACAAAGGCCACTCATCAAAACATTGTAAATGTGAGCATCAGGGACTACTCCACTTTCCATCATTCTGTCCCGAACTGTCATTGCAACATCGACTTCCTCAGAAACAACAAGTCCATGGATGAGAGCTCCATAAGAAACCAGATCAGGTTTGTATCCCCTCTCTGTAATCTTAGTAAACAAATCCAAGGCCCTTCTGTGCTCCTGTTGTCTGAAATAAGCGTGAAAAAGAGGAGTATAACTAAACTTATTTGGCACCAATCCTCTCTCCATCGCATGGTTTATAAACTGTTCAGCTTCCTTAACCTTCCCATCCTTGCATGAATTATGAATCAAAATATTGTAGGTTGTAATATCTGGCTCACAACCACTCTCAATCATCTGCTTTACTGCCTCCACTCCTTTAACCAAGCTACCATGCTTACATCTAGCATCGACAATATTATTACGTACTTGAACATTAATATGCAAGCCTCTCTCCTTCATTTCCACGAAAAGCCGATCAATCGCTTTAAACTTGCCTTCTTTGCAATACCCATTTATCATAGCTCCATAAGTTTCCAGAGTGGGCAAAAACCCCTTCGATTTCAACTCTTTAAAAATCACATTAGCACTTTCAACATCACCTTTTTTGCAATATCCATCAATAAGCGTATTGTAAAAAACAACATTTGGAACACAACTCTTTCCCCACCTATCCGCAATTAATTTTCTACCTTCCTCAACCTTCCCTTCCTTACACAACCCCTTCACCATTATACAAGTACTATAGTTATCCATACACAAATGCTCACCGCCACCTCTCTCAGCCATTTCGTCATACACCCGGCGTGCAACGTCAACTCTCCTATTTTTCACAAGAACATTTAACAACGAATTACACGCGAAAACACTCGGAACTACACCATACACCTTAACCACAATATCATACAAGTCAAGAGCTTTACCAACCATCCCAGAATCCGCATAAGCTCGAATTACAAAGCTCAACGCATCATGGGTCGGCTTTACTTCTTCCAATTTCACCTTATCCATCACCAAATCGATCTCTGAAAGCATCCGAAACCTCGCCAGAAGCTTCAAAAGCGAAGAATACGCAGACCCATCTGGAGAGCAGCAGTAGGGTCGCTTGAATGCCCAGTCAAAGAACTTCAAACCCAATTCTACATCGTGCACTCGGTCCAAAACGAAATGGGCAACGTCGGAAACAAGCGTTTCGGTTTCGGAGAATTGAGTTTCGAGAGATTGCTCCCAATGATGTTGGGTTCTGAGGATTTGGATGGTGTCATTGACTAGTCTCTTGACGTGGGGAGGTGGTGGAGAAGAAGAAGTGGGCTTTCGGTTGTGAAAGGGTTTGATGCGAGAGAGAAGGGTTTTAGACATGTGAGAGTGAAGAGGTTTTGGATTTCTTGAGGCTTTCTGTGAGTGAGTTTTCAGAGGTTTGAACGTGACGCTGCTCTTGGATTGGAATTACAGTCGCTGCACCCTTTCGCTTCAACAAAAAGGCGCTAAACTTAATTTTCATTTCAAATACCAAGGCTCCTGATATCAAAAGTCTCCACGACACTCCGGACACGAGACTTCGACGGAATGAATTCATAATTTTATTAACGTTTTTATTTAATAATATAATGTCATGTAATTTTTTTTTATTTTTTAATAATATTGTATTATTGAATTAACATGCTACAGTGAATTCGTTCTATAACTTATTCTCAACACGACATCCGCTTCTTAAATAAGATTTATTTGTCGCACCACATAGCATGGTTGAATACCTAACATTGAGTCATCGACAAGCATATCAACTATCCCATAGCCGTTGAAAGTAATCTATGTGAAGAGTGTGTACTAGCAGCCTATTGAATGGTTGGACAAAACACATGTTCAGGCCCTAACCGAGAATACATCTTATTGGCAAACCTTAACTTCCGAATTTTTTGTCCAAGTATTGTCTAAATTAAAAAAATGATATGCGTTTATACAACTCGTGCTATGTTTTAACTGGACAATTCCTTCCATGCAGCTTGCAGTGTGGCGTGGAAGTCCACACCCAATCGGTTTCTAACAACTAAAAAACACCACAAACTACATTTAGCATAAGGACTGATTCTTGGAGCAGTTCTGAGTGCTTCAAGAACTTCAGTATGCTTTTCTAAAAAGCACTTGGTTTTTTAGAGTGGAATAAGTCTCGCAATGGGCTAGCCATAATAATTTGGTTCGAATTTGCATTTGCAAGAATCGAACCCAAGACCTCTATCTTATAAGTGAAGATAAATACTACTAGACCATAGTGCTTATGAGTTATGAAATTCCAAAAGCCTACATTCTCAAAGAATTTATTCCCCAAACCAAACAGACGGAGATATAAACGGAAAATTTTGGATAGGCAGAACACTAGGTGAGAATTCAGTGTGATAACTTAAGAGCAATCAAACAATCTTCTCATCTTCTCTGACACTCAAATTCCAAGAGCTGAAGAGAGATCTACGATTTCATGCCAAGCATACAAGCGTAATAACTTCGGAAGGACAAGATCCAGCTCATGATGCAGCAACTCCTCATCCTCTTCAGACTTTCAACTTCTATTTCTTTTCCCCGGAATGCACCAAATCAAGTGTTATGAATCGACGCCCTGCCTGCTGCGCTCTGCTCCCCCTTGTTGCCTACGGCCAAGATTTTAATCAGATACATAATCCACTCTACCCAGAATATGAAAAACTCATCTACCAATCATTTCGCTAACTGTTACACATTTAACACCAATTCTCAATCAAATGATCCACTCGATCATAGACGCACACAACAAACGAAAGCACATGTACACGTACACTCACCACCAAATCTCAAACAAAAATGAAAACCTGTACATTAGATTTATTAACCTTACCCAAAGAAACTGTTCAGCACCTCGAGAGGCAGGGTGGCAGATGATTGGATTTTCTATACAATAAAATCATATCAAATAAATAATTTGATTATATTTTGGGAGAGAATAAAATGATAGTAACAAATCGGAATTCATGTACAAGCAAAGTCTAGCCAACTAGCCATGTGAGTTATTTCCTATCGACTCGTTTTTATAAAAAGATCTTGACGCTTTCATGTCCAGCTAATCCACATTATACAATGTGCACCATAGTAAAAAGCTTTCTCAACACAAAGTTTGGAATTTCAATCGATCTTTAAATGTTCTGGGGTGATGTCTAGGTGCCAGAACATGGAAATGAACTTCTACAGCAGGGGGAGGGAAGAGAAAAAGGTTTTCCTTCGCATTTGTGTTAATTTTTTAAAGGGATTAGAGAAATATACACACTACGAACAGGGCTTAGAGAAATATCTGTGTAACAAACACGTTGTACTCAAGTAAAGGCAAACACTACCAGTCCAAGAAATAGGAAATACGAAAAGGTAAATACTAATTGTAAGGCGAACTCACACTGTATGAAAATCATGCATCGACGTGCTAAGAAGGATATGCAGATATATATCAATTAAACATACACAACAATAAAATCAGCATGCAGACAAGTGGGTAAGCAACATTTGAGCCAGCATTTTTTCATTAGTGTGTGAATAGCATATCCTATTATCTATCTTCCAAATTTAGGGTATTCTCAAGCCACTCCCCGGCCACATCAGATAAATTTTCGTTTTACCTTCCATCCATTCAGCATGTACTATGTTAGTCATCAAACGATTTTTTTTTCTTATGCATTCTGCAGTGTAATATAAACCCTATATATGTTTCTAATCTTGTGGTTCATTAAGAGCTTGAGAAAATGGTCAAGAAGACATGGCAAGTTTGGGACATAAGAACAACACTTACAATTTCCCAGAGGTTAGTGGTTCAAAACCACCAAAGCTTCAAGTTAAGATCAACTAATGGTTGTGCACCTAAACAACAACAACAAAGCCTTATCAACTAAGTGGGGTCGGCTATCTAAATCCTAGAACGCCACTGCGCTCGGTTTGTAATGGTTGAGCACCTAACTAAATAAATTATCCAATGGCAAATCTTATATCCTTATGCGTTACTCCGAAGCTGCATAAGTTATAGGCCTTAATATAATCAACAGCCTCTGATAATATATGTAAAATTAATTATTAAAATACTTGTTTCATCAAAATTAAATATTTTAAATTACCCATACAAGAATTCTATGACATCTAATGGGGATGACTTCGGCATTATTCCCTGACCATTCTGTTCTTCACCACCAAATCTGAAAGCATTGAACAAACAATCAAAATCATAGACGCTAATTACCCAACAGTATGCAAAAAGGGCTAACTACAGCATTAGAGGAGAGCCATTGCTTAATGAACTTACAACAATTTTGGGTGACAGCTGTCCATTCAAAGCTCCATTCAACTGAGGTGGTAATACAAATTATTGAACATTGAAGAACCAGGATGTCACTTTCATATGACTAAAAAAATCGTGTCAATTGCTCTGCAGTTTCACAAATGAATAGGTGAAAAGAATACTAGCTCTTGTTGAGCTGTCCAGTTACGTAATCAACCACTTTTCAGTTTTCCCGTCCACCATCTTATTTCAACTCTTGGTCAGTATGGTTTGCAAAGCACCCAATTGTTTTGAAGAAAATGGAGGCGCCCTTTTTCGAACCAACACCATGATTGCCTTAGCCTTACCAAGCTCGTTTGCCTTCTTTAGGCCTTCAAGCAATGTACGAATGGTATCCACATTCGGAAACCAATTCTTTTGCATGCAATCTTTACACATAGTATATGCCAACTCAAAATCTCCTCCTTTACAAAGATAATGAATCATGGTCTGATATATTTTGACATTGGGCTTGTATCCCTTTCCATGTAGAGCAGAATACACCCTTTTGGCCATTTCAAGATACCCCGCCTGACAAAAACCTTTGATGACCAAATTATAGGTAACCTCATCGGGTGTTATCTCAATATTCTGCATCAAACCCATCAATCTATTCGCTTCCCAGGCTCGTCTCCTATATACCAGATACTGGATTCTAACATTGAAAGTCGCAAGATTAGGCAAACAGCCCTTCAATATCATAAGATTCCACAAACCATTACCAATTTCCCACCGGTTGTCCTTATAAAATGCTGACATCAGTGTTGTGTATGTAATGACGTCTGGTTTTATCCCCAACTTCTCCATCTGTACCATTATCTGATATGCTTTAACCAAAATACCCATTTCGCAAAAAGCCTTTATGACAATATTGACCGAATATATATCCAGTTCAATGTCAAACTTCTCCGGAATCTCACTCAAAAATGCCTCTATGGCTCCTAAATCACGGGTTTGAGTCAGAACCTTGAGTGCAGTGTTGAAAGATTTAACAGTCCTAGAACAACCATATAAATGCATATCACAAAAAGTATCAATAGCATGCTTAGTCATCCCAGCCTTACCATACAATGTTATAATCCTCATTATAAACCCTTCTCGCCGACCTTGGGGAAGGCTCTTCTGATGCTCAAGCAAATGTTCAATGTAATCAAACCGGTGAGCTCCAGCAAGCCGAGACACCATGTCTTCAAATGCAAACCGGTTCTCAATGACAAGCCTATTGTGCGTGTTGGCCTTAAACAAATGAAACAGCTTTTCCGGGTCTCTCTCAGCTTTAAGCTTAACCAGGGCAGGCTCTTCCAACGGTTTCGTATTCAAAACGCGATTGGACGCAGCTGCAGGGCAATCATTCGAGGTTATGGCAATGGCGGCATTACAGAATCTGCGACTTGTTCGCAGAGAGAGCATGTTTCAGGAGTTTCCCAATATTAATGCACATCCATCCATCAACATCGGCATTCTACACAAACCATTACGAATAAATATCGAAAACCCACTTCAAAATTTGAGGAACCCAGAAATACAAACGCCCAAAAGAACCAGAAATCACAGACTTTATCATATATTGTTCAAATTTTCAGAATCTGGAACATACCCATTTGCTGAGATTGAAGGGTTTAGGCACCCACCTGAAAGGAGCTTCAATGCCCGCGTGCAAAAGCAAAAACCCAGAAACGCAAACACCATCAATGAATCGTATATCCTCTGTAACCAATTAAATTACCAGAAGGTTAGAGAGTGAGAGAGGGAGGAGGTTTTAGCATTGGGGATCTGAGGGGGACGTTATTTGGTTAAGTGATTAGAGTTGGCTGGGATTCTCTGTCGGGGTGGGGGTTTTGGCCTCACTGGGGGTTTAGGTTTTTCTATAGGTTGGGTTTTCGTTGTGTTGTGCTTGTGGAGTAATTTTTCGGTGTACCCGGTACACCAAAAAAATTTGGTGTACCCTCACTCATAATGGTGAGGGTACACCAAAAAAATTTGGTGCACCCTCACTTTTTATACACCAAAAAAATTCTAATGAGTGAGGGTACACAAAAAAAATTTGGTGTACCCGGTACACCTAAAAATTTTCCGTGCTGTTGTGGACTGTGATGGTACAGCGTGCGGCTCCATGGTAAGGGAGCGTGGACTGCTCAAGTACACATTTTTGGTGATTGGTTGCTGGGACAGCTAAATTAAAATTATTAATGGGAACAAAGAAAAATGAGAAAAATTAGAAAAATAATTTCCCTATATCAGACATCGTGACAAGAATTGCAAAGACTCGATATGTCTAATGGTTAGAATCTTTCTTTTTAACCTAGTGCGTTTCGAATTCAAACTCTCTTCCTCAGTTTTTAGTGTTGATTAATGTGAAATCACGCTTATATTCAAAGAAATATTATGACATGAATCCTTCAAAAATATAAATTGTTCATTGTTTTTTTCCGTGAAAGACGATATGTATTTCATAATGCCCATGGGGCTAATTAGTACAAGGTAGAGAAATGTCCTCCATAGAAGATCATTTATAATGATAGGAGGTTCGTCAAACCAAGTACAATTTCCTCCTCCATGGAGGGCAAAACGAGCCAATTTATGGGCTACTGAGTTAGCTTGACGGCAGACATGGGCAACCGAAGCTTCAGTGACCATAGACAGTAAGACTTTGATGTCCTCGATGATAGGTCCAATGAGAGACGAATTCACCGAAGGCTCCTTCATTGCCGATATGATCTGAAACGCATCACTCTCGATAATAATCTTGTTCAAGTCCCTTTCAACCACCATTTCAAGACTCACTCTCATGGCCAATGCTTCCACCTGGATGCGTGAGAACACGTCCATGAACATGTAGGTAGCCGCACCCATAAAAGATCCTTCATCATTCCTGATGATAACTCCTACACCTCCTACGTAATTCTCCTTCTCCCATGCTCCGTCGACATTTAGCTTCAGTCTACCCGACGGTGGGCAAGACCAACGCGGAGAACCACCATGAACAACCTGTTGGGACGGAGAATTGTTCACCTCCTATGAATCCTTCAAAAATATAAATTGTTCATAGATAGGAAGAATGTTGTTGGTAAAAGCATTGTCCATCCATCTTATTACATATCCTCGTTGCATAAACAAAACATCATGTGAGGAGATCAATGATAGAAATAACACGTGGACGTGTAGATGAAACAAAAGGGTGTGCGAAAATCCACTTTCAAACTAAAATATTTAATGAGATTGGTGGTACCTATTTTAGGTAGGAGGGCAACTGGATACTTGATACTCAAGTACACGTTATAAAATACGTTCAATGTGGCATTCGAAAATTGGAACACCGTGATGTGATATTACAAATTCATGTGTTATATCGTAAACGGATGGTGGACTTATACACATTGTGGATCAGTAACATCACTTGATGGTGCTAAAATGTTACCGAAAAATTACTTGAAGCCAAATTTTAGTTGAGGAAAGAAGAAACTTCAAATGGAAGTTAATAACATTAACCAACTATTCTGCTGTAATATATCATGTAAAAGTGTCTTGTACAGTTAAGAACTTTAGAAGATTCGAGGGGAGGATCAGAGCTTCTGGCCGCGACGAACGGTTCATTTGAAGATCGACCACCCCGGGAGTTTGCTTCATTTAGTCCTTTGATGTTATAACAAGCAACCCCAACGCGCCAATTAGAATATACTGAACAAAAGAAACAGAAGGGATTAATTTGTGATTTGAATAAAATCATTTGTGTCTGCTGCATGTTTAATATGACCATTTTCGGAGGAGAAACAAACCTTAATAATAGGCTTTTCAGTCATGATAATTGTCACCCACCCGACATAAGGTAAAAACCTGAAAATGATAACGGATTGAGCAAAAGTGCGATAACAACATGAAAATGATAATCACTTGACTTCTATTTTCTTTTAAGAAGACGAGGGAAAAAAAGGGTAAGAATAAAGACGATAGAATTAGTCAATTAGGTATGGCTTAATTCGTTTCGCTAATCACTTTGGGTGGCTTCATTATGAATACAGTGAACGAAGCAATTAAGCTTCAAGACTATCACTTCAAATACCAATCCAGCAACAAAATATGATAGTTTACCCATATTCCATAGAACAGAGGCAATAACTCTTTTTGTTAATGGGAAACAAAAAACATGAGGCAATGGTAGAGTTCTTACCCTACAGCTCTGCCCATGATATGATGCCGTTGTAGCCACAGCTGACCGTTAGCATAAAGAAGCCTGTCATCCCCATAATTGTTATCTCCTGAAGAAACAAAAGATAGATAGGGGGTGAACATTTGAGTGAAAAAGGCATGTAGCAAAACATAAATCGGACAGCATGTTTGAAACAGCAGAAGTACTGAGGTAAAAGAAAAAAATATGAATAGTTTGTGATACATCTTTAAAGAGTTTTAATTATCAAGACTTTCAAGGATTATATCACACGTAACAAGTATTTACATCTATTCAAGAAATTGGCACCTTTTGTTAGGACATCAACTTCTCCAGTATCTTTTCGTTCATGAACCTGCAAAATCATTTATCAGCACTGTTTATTGGACCGCAGATGGTTATAATCAACTGATTGTGGGAAAAAGCAAGTGGGGTCAATCTGGGAACCATCTAATAGACTAACTCTACATCTGGTGTGCATGTGTGTGTGTCTGTGTGTGGACCTGGTTCCTTATTTGGTATGGTCCTTTTGCAGAAATCTCAACTTAACCTAATTAGGTCCAAGGTGTATGCCATGAAAGACTGATACTATGGCTATCATTTAAACAAAATGTCCACTCTTTGAGTTAATATTGATGCTTTTGATCGTACAACATGTTTCCTTGAGATATAGAGTTGTATATTTGCTGCCAAATTCATTATTCTATTCACGAAACTCAAAAGTACGACACCTCTTATTTCAAAAGCCAAAAGTCAACATGATTTAGCAATGTCAAAAAGTGTATTATTTACCTTAATGACGCGATGGACAATTGGAATTTCACGGCCCTGGATAAAATAGACATGGGAAAGTAGAGCATATTAGTATTTGCTTCTTGAAAAAGGAGAAAACAATACCATTAAATAGAGACACTCCATTATTTTCTAAGGTTTATTGATAGCACACATGCTTAATCAATATCAAAGAGAAAAGATACAAAAACAAGCACTAAAATATTCATAGTTAAAAGATAGGGATCAAAATTGTTTGAAAGAAGAAAATTTCAAAATTTGTGTACATAACTGGTTGCTTGCTTACCAAGCCTGATAATAACTAGGCATAAAAAGCTGTAATTACAATAAAACAGAGTGACACCAAGTTAAAACAAAATCAACAAAAGGAACTTACATCAATATTAAACACAACAATTTCTCCTGCACGAATGGGTTCTTTACTCATGTGCAAGAACAAAATGTCCCCCTGCAAAGCATATGAGTTATTACCATTAGTTAAGCAGCACAAGTAACTTAAGTAACATAGATATAAAATGATAAACCACATTGCTGAAAAGATGAATCCAGGGACAACAAAGAGGCATATCACCGATCGCTTCCTCAAATATGGTTACCATAAAATAATATGAATCCAGATATACAACAACTGGTGATCAAAATATTATTTGGTACCAAACCATTGAAACATTCAAGCATTATACTATCTCACCCTCTTGAAACCAGGTTCCATACTTCCAGACAAAACAACAACAACGGGAGACTCACTGCCGGTAACACACATTAACGCCTTCCATATTATAAGCGCAGATGTGACAATCATACCTGAAACAGAAATCACATACAAAAATGAACCATATAAAGTATTTGCCTGAAAAGTTATGAAACCACAACAACTGATCATTCTTCCAAAATCCAACTCAGATAACAGAGTGAGACTATCAGATATAAACTACTGAGTCATAAGAACTTGAATACATAAATTAAAAAGAAAATTGAAGAAACCACAATAATTGGCATTAGTTCTAAAACAATTGGCATTAAGTAATCAATAAAACCCACAAATAATTCATTCACAACAGTGATTATTAAGACATACCATTTAATTATGAATAATCTCAGTAAAGTGTCAAGCTTTACTCTCCTAAACCCCAGAAGACAAAACAAATAAGAGGTAAACGTTGGAAACATCGCAATTTGATTGCCACCCACATTTTCTCATCACCCACACAGATAATAGGAAGTATGAATTCCGAATCATAAGACCCAGAAAGAGAAAACGCTAAAACGAGAGAGAGAGAGAGGAGAGAGGGGGGGGGTTTAAGGGTTGACGAACCGAGACTGACGGCCTGAGTGAGGACCTGCCGAATCTGCAGGGATTTGATGGAGTCTACGCTCTCACCGATCCAACCCATTCCTTCTCTCTTTTGCCTTTTACCCCCTTCGCCGTCGTCTTCTCAATTTTGCTTGTCTGAGAGAGCTACTGCAAATAGACCGGCTAACACGGTTTGGCGGACAGATGATTCTGAAAAAAAGTTGCTTTCAATAAAAGTTAAAAGAGTTATTTTTGTGTTTGGTAAACTTTTTTTCATAGTTTTAAGTGAAAAAAAAAAGCCAAAAACAAGAAGCTGCAAAACTCAGTTTTGACAAACCGGTTTTTTTTCATATCTGTTTTACATAAAAGTTTATCAAATACTATAATACTTTTTTTTTTTCAAAAGTACTTTTACAAAAAAGTTTACCAAGCACTCTGCTGTTTTATTTCACAGTTGCTTATTTTCACAGCACAACAAAAGTAACTTTATTTCAAAGCACAGCAATACCAAACCAAAGGGCCATTTATTCGTATCCATAAATTTGAAATTTAATAAGCTATATCTTTTATATTCTACGAAACAAATAAATTTAGAATTTCAACAAAAATCAGAATGTATAAATTAATATGTATCAATTTTCTTGTTTGAATTATTAAATATAAAAATTTAAAATTTTCACTTGGGAAGAGAATTTGGAATTTGAAATCTCCAATTTCCAAATTTAAATTTCATGTAATTTATGTCATTTCCAATTTCTATAAATGAGAATTTAAAAATACAAATTCTGTATTCAAATTCTATTATTTTTTTAGGTTAACCAAATAAGAAAATTCACAAATCCTAAAAATAAAATTTCGTCATTTCAATTTCGTTAATTTTAAAATTCCTTAATAATCTTAAATTTTTTCATCAAAACAAAGTGTTAATCTTTTTGTTCCTTTTTAATCTTTTTCTCAAGTTATTTTTGTTCTGCACTAAAATAGAATTTTCAATTTTTTTTTTCAAAGATTTGAACCGATAGGGATGCCATATCAGCAAAATGATGTAGCAAAACACGCGAGTACCTTCTACACTCTTTCTAGTTGGGCGGGATGCCATATCACCAATAGGGATGCCATAGCGTTCTTCAATTTATATGAACTAAAGTTTTAAGCGATTTATCATATTAATTTTTTGAAACGAACTTAATTCTTTTATCTATTTTTATGCAGATGTCCCCATAGATTGTTCTGATCCCAGCTCCTCGTGTTTGGAAGGAACTTTGGATTGCAGCGTTGTTGCCGGGAATATTGTGATTTGTGACAGTGGTATTAGTCCCAGAGTGCAGGAGGGACAGGTGGGGAAAGATGCAGGAGCCATCGGTATGATTTTGGCAAACACATCTGCAGATGGAGAACAAACGTTTCTGTTTTAACACTTCATACAACCGTCACTAATGTTGGCCCTGCGGTTTCGAATTACGACGCCATAATTTCGCCGCTCAGAGGTGCTTGCTTATGTGAAAGTCGAGCTTCGGACGCTGAACTTCACAAGAGCAAATCAAAAGCTATCTTATCACCTTCATTACGAAATTCCTGCGGGCGGTTCCGGAATTCGGAGGGTTGGTGCGGGAGGATAGAGTGCACAGGGTGAGAAGCCGTACTGTTGTAGCGTGGCTACCTCCGCTGTGAATCATGCACTGGAGTTTTTTTTTTTTCTTTTTCTTTTTGGCATGATTTAGTTTCCATATGTGCTTTATTATGCTTTTGAATAAACAAATTTTTTTGTAATAAACAAATTTTTAATGTAAGGTAATCCATTTGATATTTCAGATGCAAGGGCAGCGGATTGATTGTTTTTTATCCCAACAACTTCAAAAAACTCATGTATATTTGTTTGTGTATTGTATTTAACCTCTATTAGTAGTTAAGGCAAACTAATTTACAACCTTATCCTCCTACTTCTTCTACTTTCCTATGTCATATTTGTCTTTCTTTTCTTTCTTCTTGTGGACGACTCTATTGTGTGCACTATGTGCTCAATGAAATACCTTAGTTGACAAGCCTTGACAGTCTTCAACATTACTTCACAGTATCTTGCATCCATAAAAATAATAGTAATCGTTGTCGACATATGTTAGCATAAGCTTTGGGCATATGTTGGCAGGAATTATGTGGGACCATGATTTTCTGGGCCCGAGACATGTGGCACCTTAGGTGGCAAGAAATACCAGAATTCCCATAGCACAGAATCGGAGTAGCCCTAGTCAGATTCGGACCAACCTTAGATTTGGAGTAGCCTTAGTCATATTTGGACCAACCTTAGTCATTTCTGGACTAGCCTGGGTATTTATCGAGATACAATCATTTTATGCTCTACATGACTACCATAGATATCCACCTACATTCATATTATTTCTCTTTACAAATCACAATAAACTTATCCTCTTTATGCCTAATAGAGGTCCTTACGCCACTGTCTATGCGTAGAGACGTCCATGGAGAACTCATCTCTCAACGCCCGACCATAGGCTATCCGTCAAGGATGGTTACTCCATTCTTTCATAGAACTACACCCATGGTTTGATTCTCCTTCCTGGAGATATGTAAGCAGTCATTTTCGGATTCAACACCACCCCCTAATCAACCCTATTCTCCACTCATTGGTGATCATGAGCATTTTCAACGTGGTTCTCGCCTTTGTCCACTGATGTATGCGAATTTGGTTCTAACAATTGGTGCTTTCATTTAGAGTGAATTCATATTTTCCGGTATAAATCAATCTATCAATATGTGATGTGAATCTACTTGGGGTAAAAAGCAATCAAATGAAGGAATTTTGGAGTAATCCTAATCGCAGTGGATTTATGTGTCTCTCAAGATGATTGTATCAAAACTTTAGAATTTAATTCGAAGCCATTTAAACGTGGTGAAGAAAAGAAGACCCAGTGCACAGCTTTTCCAATTTGACATTTTTGGACGTTTGGGGAATTTTAAAAGCCAAGATGGCATATTTCAAGGAAGGTTCCTTCTCAGGATTTGTTAAGGCATCTTAAACTTAAAAAAAAAAATAAAAAAAAAAAAAAGCCCTTTTTGAACCAAATCGGTGTTGATTTAATAGTAAAAATCATACCTGTAATACCCTGAAAATTTTTAAGCATATGAGTTTGATATTCTTAATTATGAATATGTGGAGAAAATAGAAAATAAATCGATTTATGATTATGAAAATTTAATTGAGGAATTTTAAAATTTTGTTACCGGAAGTTATTATAATTTACGTTGTAAAATGTATCGATAAGTGGAAAAGATGAAAATGGCCCTAGTTGGTTTTACTTAATTATATGAGGACGGATTTTATACTCATACATATTAGATTATCTCTTGTTAAATTTGGGTAGAGCTCGGTACTACGAGTGCATAGGCACAAACCGTTCATGAAATGGAGTTATAACAAAGGAGTTATTAACATTTAAAGTCAGGGACATTTTGGTAATTTTACTTCATTTTAGAAGGCTTCAGAAAATTTGGAGCAATGAGTTGTGCCACATGTGTGGATGGAATGAGAGGAAAAGAAGAGAAAAGAAAGAGAGATGGATGGCTAAGATGGAAAAGAGAGAAGAGAAAGGAGAGAAAAGGGTGGAGAAACTGCCGCATGAGAGGGGGAGGAAGGAGAGAAAGGAGGGAGAAAGAAGAAGAGAGGAACACGGACCCTCTTTGATTCGTTGACCTGATCTGAACCCATTTCTCTATTTCGGCCACCGTTGACGACGGGGGCGGTGCTAAATTACTCCTCACTTTGAACCCAGTCGTTCCCTCTCCCATTTGCACCCAAAAAACTGAAGAAATTGGTTTGATTTTAGGAGAAACCGCAAGATGGTGCGACGGGTTTAGCTTCGATTCATCAAAACCTGAAGCTAAATACTCAATTACCACCATCTATGTAGTCTCCTTGAGGCCTGGAACAAAGCCCATGCATTGGTTGGGGTGTCAGAGTTGTTTTGGAGTTGAATTAAGAACACCCAAATCAAGGTTTCTGGCGGTTCGATGGCGATTGAGGTGTTTCCCGATCGAATTGGACTTCTGCCCAGGCTAGGTATGAAATTGTTCCTCTCATTGAACTCTACTTGGTTGTAAAATTTGGTAAATTTTAGAGTTGGTCAGAATTTGGGATTTCAGTTCGCTGGAAACTGCATCCCACGGCAGTGTGTGGCCAGTGTGCCGATGGTACCATTTTGTACAAATTTTGATATTCTAAATACGAATTTGGTATCCATTGGATGTGTTTCAATCATTAGAACTAATGTTGGATATTTCGTTTATTTGGAATATAATAAAAAATGGATTAAGATTGAATGGTGAACTACGAAAGGCTTAATCCCGTTCAAGGCAATCTAACGGGAGTTAGATGCAGCCTTAAAATAACCGAGATTAATCTTTATCGAAAATTAGAAAGAAGAAAAGGGACTGGATGTTTAGTATAAAGTTTAACCTTATGTTTTGTTAAATAAATTTAGCTATAGGTTATGTGAGAAATTAAGAATTTATTAATAAATTGTGATTAGTGTTAGTTAATTAAACAAGAGTTTAATATTGGCCTATCACATAAATTAGTTTCCAAAATAAAATTTTCAGTAAAATTATCGGGTCGGGGCGTTACAATACCCGTGAGCGAAAACAAAAATAAGAACAACGACACAATTACTTGATGATCAATTGAAGAATCACGAACCCCAACTCCATATGATGTGAAGAAATAATGATGATTATTTCACGAAATGATGATTATTTCACGAAATGATCCGTGCTGAAATAACTCAGCGGATTATGTCTGTGACTCATAGACGCATCAACCTGGGTATATGTGATCCATCTTTCTACACTCTTTTCTTTCATTTTTAGAATATAAAATTGACTTTTGTGTGTGGAAGTCTGCTTATACCCGATGCTTATTTTAATTACGGTGAAAATGACTGTAGACTGTAAAAAAATTAGTAAGTTTAAACGA